AGGAAACAACCTCGGGATTTTCAGGTGTAGAAGCAGCTAAGGACTTCAACAGTGTTGGATTGCGAAGCTGCCCGAACATTTGGCGCCGTCTGTGGGAACTCAAACAAGAAGTCGTGTGGCTTAACTTGCTGAAAGATAATATGGTTCGTACCTTTACAGGAGGTCACCCTCCAAGAAATGAAATGGACGAACAGGAGGACACTCACGTATCTGAGCTCAGCTTGAATGACTTTAGGCCAATGCCAAGAAATCTTTTTGTAGGGGGAGCCGAACAGGATCACCTAAGTGAAACAGATGATGAAAGAACACCAACTGGGTATGCAACCCAGCCTGAACAGTTCCAAGTTCCAACAGGAACAGGAAAAAGACCTTCTAGACCATCCAATTCACAGCGTGAACGACCTGAAAGGTCAACAGAACCTGCTCGGACAACCGAGCTCGAAGAGAGAACCAGAATTCTCGAAATGGCAATGGGTAAAATCCTTGCCCGTCTAATTCCTGATGACCCCCCTGATTCCTTTACTGAACAGGGATGCACAACCAGCTGCGGTTGTTGCAACTCGAAATTCCCCCGCTCTAAGCAACATAGCAGTGCCGACTAGGCCAAGGGGAAGCGAGAAGCTAAACCTCGAGCCCAGCTCATCCAAACATAGTGAAGAACTGATGAGAAAGAACGCAGACCTTGAAAGACAGCTGCGAGATGTACAGAAGTCCATTGACGAGCTGAAAAGTCCCAGGTCGCACCAACAGACCCTGGATTTGGATAGTGCTCCACTAAACCTGTCAATCACAGCAGAACCCTATCAAGAGGGATTCAAAATTCCCCACCTGGAGACATATGATGGCTCGGGCGACCCCGATGAACATCTGCACACTTATCAAGCCATCATGAGAATTCAAAATGCAAATGATGCCATGATGTGCAAAGTGTTCCCAGCGACACTGAAATCAACAGCCAGGAGATGGTATCACAAACTCCCCAGACATTCTATAGACTCATACTCCCAGCTCGCCAAGCTATTCTCCAACAAATTCGCGAGCCAGAGAGAGAACAAACGCACAGCAACCAAGCTGATGCAAGTTAATCAAAGGGAAGGGGAATCTCTGAGGGACTACATGCAGCGATTCAACAAAGCCACTTTGGACATTGCTAACATCCCAGATACCATCTGCCTGTCCGCCTTGCTACATGGTTTGAAGCGTGTCCGGTTCCTGGACGACCTCCTAGAAAACCCACCGAGGACTTGGAATGAAGTGAATGACAGGTCGGCTAGCTTCATATTATCAGAAAACTTCCAGTTGTCCAAGCGACGAGCTAACGATAAGTAGAGCAAAAGTCATGATCAGCCGCCGAGGAGAGAAGAAAAGAAGAAACAGAAAGTCAGCGAGCAGTGGGGGAAGCCCGCTAACTTCCCCAAGTATGCCAACTACATTCCTTTAACCTTGCCCAGGTCTCAAATCCTTGCGCAAATACAACACTGGGTTAGAAGACCCCCACCCCCACTGTATATGAGTCCCCAAGGGCAGACAAGAACAAGCATTGTGACTATCATCGTACTTATGGTCACAACACAGAAGACTGCCAACACTTGAAAGACGAGCTGGAATTCCTAGCTCGCAATGGGAAACTAGAAGGATATGTTCAGAAGCCCCACGCCCAGCAACCCACTCAAACTCATTTTGTACAGGGGTATGACCGACTTCAAGGGCAGAGGTGCCAACTCGGCGGGGCACAGGATGTATATCAGGACAATCAATATCCTTCGGAGCAGGGCAGGGCATACAGAGGGCGTCCGTTCAACAGGAGAGGACAGGGGCAGAGAGCCGCTGCCCAGAACCAAAAAGATAAGAAAGGGGTAGGCTATGCTGGGATACCCCCGCCCTCGGGTACAATAAACATGATATCAGGTGGTGTTCACTCTGGGGGCCAAAGCGCCCGAGCCCGCAAGGCATATGCCCGACAAGTGATGACTGTCAACAAAAACAGACCCTTGAAGCGACCGTTTGAGGAAGCAGAATGGGAGAATACGCCTATCACATTCAGCCCGGCAGATTACAAGCGAGCAGAAGGAGAGCCTGACGTTATGATGCCCCATGCAGATCCCTTTGTGGCAACGGTTCATATAGGCAATCATAATGTCAATAAGGTGTTTATTGACACTGGCAGTTCACCAGATATCCTGTACTAGAGTTGCTTCCAGAAGATGCAGCTAAATCCGAGCTCACTGCAGAAGCACGAAGGGCCAATATACGGGTTTGATAACCAGCCCGTCCCGGTCGAGGGAGTTATCACTCTTCCTACATATGTGGGCTCAGAACCACGCTTCAGGATGGCTTCCGTCACCTTCCTGGTTGTTAAGATGGAATCAGCTTTCAATGCTATATTAGGAAGAGCCACCCTATGCGAGCTAAAGGCTGTCGTCTCGCAACCCCATCTTTGCATGAAATTCTCAACTCCTCAAGGGGTAGGAGTGCTTAAAGGAAATCAAAAGATGGCCAAAGCCTGCTATCAAGATACTTTCAAAAAGGTTGAGCTCGCTGCTGCCTCTTCAGGCTACGAAAATCGCAGATCAACCAAGCCCGGGCAGCAGACAATGAGCATATCAGACATTGAGCACCGACCTGAGGGTGTCGAGCAGAAGGCAGAGCCAGTGGAACCAGTTGAAATAGTCCCCCTAAACCCTGATATGCCAGAAAGGACGGTTAGGATCGGCACCAAGCTCACAGGAAAGGAACGTGCAGAGCTTCTGGAGTTTTTGTGGAGTAATCAGGATGTGTTTGCATGGGTTATGGATGAAATGCCTGGCATCCCAGCGGAGTTGACAGTCCACAAGCTCAGCACGGACCCCACCAAAAGGCCAGTGGTTTAGAAACGTTGCCTTTTTGGCCCTGAGAAGCAAGCTGCCATTGACGAAGAGATACAAAAGTTGTTACAGGCAGGCTTCATCAGAAGAGTGGAGTACTCTGAATGGGTGTCCAACCCTGTGCTCGTCAAAAAGCCAAATGGCAAGTGGAGGATGTGTATTGATTTCACCAACCTCAATGATGCGTGTCCAAAAGACCCTCATCCCTTGCCAAACATCGAGAAGTTAGTAGAACGGGCAGTAGGACATGAACGGATGAGTTTTCTTGACGCTAGCTCGGGTTACCACCAGGTCCAGCTGTTGCTAGACGACCAGGAAAAAACAGCTTTTTACGCTGGTGACGCCATCTACTGCTATGTCATGATGCCGTTTGGCCTCAAAAATGCTGGAGCAACATACCAGAAGCTGGTGCAAATCATCTTTAAGCTCCAGATCGACAGAAACATAGAAGTGTATGTAGATGACATGATAGTCACCAGCGTGCCAGCTGAGGATCACATTGACGACCTGGATGAAACTTTTCAGAACTTGCGCCGAGCCCAAATGAAGCTGAATCCCTTGAAATGCACGTTTGCTGTGGAATCAGGGAAATTCCTAGGGTACGTGGTATCCAAGAAAGGAATCGAGGTAAATCCAGAGAAGGTCTAGGCTGTTCAGCAAATGGAGCCTCCCAAGACTGTAAAAGATGTACAACGTCTAACAGGTCGGGTAGCTGCGTTGCACAGGTTTATAGCTAGATCGACAGAAAGGTGCCTTCCGTTCTTCAAAGCTCTACGGGAGCCTAAAAACTTTCAGTGGACTGATGAATGTCAACAAGCGTTTGACGAGCTCAAACAATATTTGGCATCCGCACCCCTGCTGTCCAAGCCTGTCAATGGGGAATGTTTATATCTTTATCTAGGGGTCACAGAAGAAGCGGTGAGTTCAGTGCTACTGAGGGAAGAGAATAAGAATCAGAAGCCTATCTGCTACGTGAGTAAGGTGTTACAAGGTGCCGAGCAGAACTACTCGCTAGCAGAAAAGGCTGCTTTTGCTTTGGTCTGCACAGCTCGTAAGCTGAGAGCTTATTTCCAGTCTCATCAGATTGTTGTCTATACCGATTTACCATTAAGAAAAATACTGCAGAAACCTGAACTCTCTGGTTGGCTTATTGGATGGAGCGTTGAGCTGAGTGAATATGACCTGAAATTTCAGCCGCGCACAACCATAAAAGGCCAGGCCGTTGCGAACTTTCTGGTGGAGTGCATCTCAACAACTAAGGAAGAAAAAGCACCCGAACACCCAGTCTGGGTTTTATATGTTGACGGAGCTGCTAACATTGAAGGGTCCGGTGCTGGAGCTGTGTTGGTAGGCCCAGACGGCTTTAGATCTGAGCATGCATTGCGGTTTAAATTCCAAACCACTAATAATGCTGCCGAGTATGAAGCCCTCATTTATGGTTTGAAGCTGGCATCCGAGCTGAAGGTGCAGAGCATACAAGTTTTTAGTGATTCTCAGCTCGTTGTGGGCCAGGTAAATGGCAGCTGTGAAGTTAGGGATCCCCAGCTTGGCCGTTATAACTCTGTGGTCAGCAGATTGAAGTCAAGATTTGCTTCCTTTCAGATCGACAAGATACCCAGAGCGGATAACCAACGAGCTGACGAACTGTCAAAGTTAGCCTCCTCGCAAGAGACCAATCCGCATAGGTCAACAATAATGGAGGTACTTGATGCTCCTAGCTACACTGACTTCACAGCTGAGTGTCAGCTGCTTAGCACAGATCCCTCTTCGCCAAGCTGGACTACCCCGCTCATAAATTATCTGCAAAGTGGCGAGTTACCTGAAGATTAGTTCGCTGCAAAATTGATTAAGCGCAGGGCGGCACATTTCACTTTGTTAGATAACCAGCTCTACAAACGGGCAGCCTCTATGCCCCTATTACGCTGCCTTACTCCTTACGAAGCTGAATACGCTGTGAGGGAAGTTCACGAAGGAGTATGTGGCACGCACATAGGTGGCAAAACTTTAGCTTGGAAACTCCTTAGGCATGGTTATTACTGGCCCACTATGGTCGAGGACGCGCAGAACTATGTCAAAAAATGTCCGACCTGCTAGTTCAATGCTGATGATATACACATGCCAGGTATCTGAGCCTGTTCTAAAGATCATGCAAACTTCCTGTTTGTCCATAAACTTAGCATAAATATCTTCCTTGAAACAGGGGAAATGCTATCATCTCTCACGTCTCCCTGGCCCTTTGCTCAATGGGGTGTCGACCTGCTCGGCCCTTTCATCAAAGGCAAAGAAGGCTACACTTTCCTAGTCGTTGCAGTAGATTACTTCACTAAGTTGATAAAAGCTAAACCATTGTCCACGACAACAGAAAGGAAAATAGAAGAATTCTTGTTCAATTCAATATTGCGCAGGTATTCTTTGGTGACTTAGGTCATAAATAAAATGTATGCAAACGTGGTTTGTAGCTCAGCTCGGTTATCTGTGTGCAGGTTCGGCATACCTAAGCGGATTATCGCCGACAATGGGCCACAGTTCTGACCAGCAGCACTGAGATCATTTTGTAACGACTATAGCATTGAGCTCGCCTTGACATCCGTGTATACTCCACAGTCTAACGGACAAGCCGAGTCCGCCAATAAAATCGTCTTGCGAGGCCTCAAGACACGTGTTTTAGCTGCACATTCGAATTGGGTCGACGAGCTCAATAAAGTGCTCTGGTCTTGTCATACTACACCCAGCTCGGCCACGAGCGAAACTCCTTTCAGCCTTGCCTATGAAACTGAGGCCGTCATCCCAGTAGAGGTTGGATTACCATCTGATCGAGCAGGCTGGCATGACGATCTCAACAACGAGCAACTGTTGAGAGAAAACCTAGACTTCGTGGAAGAGGTCAGGGAGATGTCTAGAATAAGAAACATGGCGCATCAAAGTCGTGTTGCAAAATTTTACAATAAAAGAGTTCGAGCTCGCCAGTTTCAAGTCGGCGATCTGGTTCTACACAAAGCGGGATTGACGAATACTTGCTCACACATGGGTAAGCTCGCCCCTAATTGGGAAGGACCTTATATGGTTATTTCTATTCAACGACCTGGGTCTTACCGGTTAGCAGATTTACAAGGTCGTCCATTACCATTCATTTGGAACATACATAACCTTAGAAAGTTTTACAGTTAAGAGTTAGTCTTACAGTTAATATGTATGTTATTAGTGTTTAGGTCGTCATGGATCAGTTGTAAAGGGCATTTCATAGAGAACTCAATACATAGAACGTTCAAAAAGGAAATTCAATTTGTATTTCATCAATGATCATTTACAGTTGAAGTACATGACATATAATGTCATTGATCAATACAAGTAATCAAAAGAAAACACAAAACGTCAAAAAGAAAAACCCTAAGTCTAGTCATCCGTCAGATCGACGGGTATGGATGCATCAGCAGCAGCTGCAGGAGAGCGAGCTGGAGGAGACCGGACTGTGGGCGCAGAGGCTGGTGCACTGACGGGCGAGCTGGCTGGCACCACAACGGGCTGAGAGTTGGGCAGCGTGCTTGAAGGCTCTTGCTCAGCTACAAGAGCACCCTCTACCCATGCGTCAAAAGAGGGCAGCCCTGCTGGATCCTCCCCGTCCTCAAGGACTTGAGGAGGCCAAACAGGCACTCCCTCCTCGTTGAGGTCCCACCTCAACCGCACCGTGGCGTCGACAAGGGGAGCGAGACTCTTCCCCTGCTCGTCCAGGTCCTCCCCGTCAAAGAAGGCTAGCTCGCCAATCGGGAAGTCCGGGCGGTGTTGCAGCACCTTCCCACGGATCTCGTTGTAGATCTCCATGGTTACATTTGTAGATGCCACCGCCACGGCATCTTGAAACACAACCGAACCCACGAACCATTCCGCCCCTTGAGCTCAGGCGATGCTAACAGAGCGTGCATGGGAAGTCTTCAGCTCGTTCAGCGCCTCCCCCGCAGCAGTAAGGTTCTGGTCGGCCTCGGCAACCTGGTGCCTAAGGGAGCTCAGCTCGTGCTAAGCACGGTCCCTGTCGGCCTCAGCCTTCTTGGCCCATTCCTCAACCTGGGCGGCTTCCTCCCTAGCGGCCTGGATCCCGCTCTCTCTTTCAGCACGGGCGCGCTCCAACTCCTCCCTGAGCTCGTTGTTTCTGTTGGCGAGCTCATCCGCCCGGCTCTCTGCAGCCGCAGCTCGGTTCGTCATTTCAGAGCCTTGTAGACGATTCACATCGTCCACTAGGCTAGCCTTCTCAGCAGCCAGCTGTTTACATTTTGAACCGAGCTCGCCGTTCTGTGTACGAGCCTCCTGCTTGCTCTCGTAGAGCGCTACAGCGTAACTGAATGCCTGTCAAACAGCAACAATCGTAAGTACCTAGTAAGGAAAAATAAAACACTTAAGCAAGTACGAGCAAATACTTATATCCATCAGTTTGATCATGGCGACCTAGCCGCCATGCTACTGCACAAAAGCTTTTGCTCGCCGACTATCCGCTGGGGGCACAAAACTATGCATGCCTTGCACCATGGAGGGCTGGCACTCCGCTCGCACATAGTTGAAGCTTTTAGGATAAGCAATCCTGGGGCCCGATATCGAAGCCGATGCAGAGGTGGGCTCTACTGCTGCCCGCGTAGTCGCTGACAGCGTGTTGGGTGAACGCACGGTTGCAGGACGAGCCGCCTGCGCGGGCTGAGTCCCCCCGCTTGTTCTGCGCCGAGCAAGGGGGACCTTATCTTCTTCGCTCTCCGTCTCCTCGCATGCACGTCTACGTGCACTCGGGGCCGCAGCCTCAGCTCTGTGTTTAGCCCATGGCCTAGATGCCGAGCTGGACCCTCGATGGGACGAGCTGCGTGATTGAGGCGCGGCTAGCGATCGCTCGTCGAACCGCGTCTGTCTCTGTGAGGTGCTGCCCGGCCTGCGACCTCGTGAGCTCTGTGCTCGTTGACGTTGGCGTTCGAGAATGCTGCTCATCTCTCCTACACAAACAAATATACAAAACTCAGCCCAGCTAATATTCAAGATAGATGATAAAAATATACCTTTTGTGAATAGGTTTGCCACGTCAACAAACCCGAACACGGCGAGCTGCTCCGAGGTAACCAGGGCGTCTAGATCTATCAGATTCTCCCTCCTCGCATAGTCCAGCAGCTAATTTTTGAGGTCTGTGTCCCGTGGTAATAATTGAGGGTAGTTGACGTGTGCATTGGGCACACGCCACTCAGATAGCCGAGCAGCAAGGTCGTTGTTTATCCTCTCTGTTCGCGTGTCACGAACAAATATGAATTGTCTCTTCCACCTCGCCACTTTGTTTCGGACATTCTTGAACAACTGGCTCTTGTCTCTTCCGGAGAGGTAGTACCACTTCGCGCCTCGAGAGTTGGGACACAACTGGCATTGAAACAGCGACCTGAACACGATCGCCCTGGCCGGTACCTCCAACCTCGCACACAACAGCATAAAGCCTATTATGAACCTTATGCTGTTGGGCGTCAGCTGCGTCAGAGCGAGCTCGTAGTCCCCCAACAAGTTGAATACCAAGCCAGGCAGGGGGAATCGCAGGCCGGCCTCAAAGTGATCCACGTACACGGGTATCCAGCCCGTCTGTGATACCGTGCACGCCCTCTCGCTCTTGGCTCCAGTCCGGAGCAGGATTGTTCTAGGGATGTGGTGCACCCTCACCATCTCCTCCAATCTCCTATATCCACTTATTGAGGGCGCACAATCCGCTACTTCATGATGTAGGGCGGCCCGGAACCTAAATCCAGCGGGCAGGTCCTTGGGCGCTTTTCGCAGATTGCTCAACCTGCCCGTGATGGTTCTGCTTTCCCACTCTCCCATTACAGGCCGATCTGAGACATGGCTCACTACATCCCCCGCCCCCTCCTCGTGGCCTGGTGTCCCCTTAGAGGATGAGCTGCTCGACGGCGCACTAAGGTGGTCGCCACCGTTGTCTTTGGCGTTGGAACTGGTGCTGCTCTCAGACGCCATTGTTTCTGGCACATCCTACAACGCCGGCGTCACTATCATCGTGATAGGCTCTACAGATATAACCCCTTCTTCTCCCCCCTCTCTGCCCTGGTTACCTCGTAACTCTGTAAGTTCTCTCAACGAAACCATTTTACTTGAAAATGACGCGAAGTTGGTTCGGCATACTGTTCTTCAAGCTGGAGTGTCTTGCTTCAGAGAATTTCAGAAAGTTCAAGCAAACACGGAAATGAAAATGGAAAAGGAAACGGTTACACAGAGAAGAATACGGCAGTGTTAATTACTGTACGCGTGTTTCTGACGCGCCAACTAGCATCCTACACGTGGCATGCGCTTAACGCCCCTTCTGCATAGCGTACGCCGGCTTTAGCTGTCACGTCCCTCAAATGCTGAGCCAGCATTTATGACGGGGAAGGCAGAGAGATATGGGAAGTTCAATCGTATCTCCTCAGAGATTTGCTTGACTCAAAAAATCCCAAGATTCAGATCGTAACTGCTGATGTGTACCCTATACTATCACATCAGCTCGCCATTGCGAGCACACTTACCAGGTCGTTACAAAGATGACATATTTGCCAGATCGGCTTAACCGTGACAATTCGTTCACAAGTGTAGATCGTTTACTAAAATCCTCCAAGATTCAGCTCGTCACATATTGTGACGACAACCACATTTGTCAGGTCGTTACACAGGTTGCAACTCACGCCAGGCCACAGGCCTGAGGTCGCGTCACCTCAACTCGTGATCATAGCTAACTGAGCATCATCTAGTCGCACTTCAATAGTAGTCAAGGGTCAGGTCACCACATGGACGAGCTGAAATGGTGTTATATACATGGCTGGTCCCTGTGCGAGCTCATCTGTTGTGAACCACTTCAGCTTGTCGCCATAACAAGCCCACACTAGTGTGGCTATGGATACTAGCTCGCCTCCATGCTTTCAGGCTTGCGAGCTCGCCTATTTTCGTATTGCCTTTCAGCTCGGCCATTGTCGAGGTCGGCCTCAAGCTGTTCAGGCTGTCCATCATAGCTACAACACTGACCCATTGCCGCTTCCATCCCAGTTCGTCAACCGAACACCGGGGGGGAGTAATGTTGGAATAGGCTCAACACCCAAACAAGG